TTTCAATAAATCAATCTGGTATAGAAGGAAAATCTCGTATTCTAGGTCATGCCTTATTCTTGCTCTTGGTATGCACTAACGAGTGCACCAAGACATCCAAAATAACGTTTTCATAACGATGTTTTTCAGCGTCCATATTTCAGCCCCACCAAAATGCATTCCTGTATTTGTATTTTCAAATATTATTTTTCTATTTTTTAAATGTATTTTTGATACCATCGTGATGCATTTTTTAAAATGTGTTTCAGCATTCGTATTTTAGCTGTTTTTGCAACGTATAACAAACAGTATTTGGATTTTCAAGTATTTTTTAGAGTATTTCTGTCCAACCCTGGAGGTCAGGGAATCATCCACCGAGGCAAGAGCGCCCACGAAACCAGGTTCAGCGAACACTGGCAAGTGCTGTGGCGTAGTCTGCTCCGCACATGGCATACGACAAAGCGAGGGTGTGCTCGCAGGCGGGAAGAGCGAGTCCGCCATACGGTGCTTGCGCGGAGTTGTGGACGACGCCTGCGAAGAGTGCAAAGCAGAGTGCAACCAAAGCGGCTGCTGTGACATTCGCGGATGAAGTGGCCGTAAGTGAAATAAAGTTGGTCGTAGTTTCAACAGTGTCCAATGTGCTGAATTCTGTTTCACAGCGATAGCTGCTAGTGGGACACTTTGCGGTTTCGCGCCGTCGAACGCGCTTCATGTCAACGCGGGCCGTTTCCGGCACTCCGTCCAAACATTCCAAGTGCCGCTGATAACAAGATAACAAGCAAGCAAGATAACATGTATGGCCATGAATTGTAGCAAGATAACGTGCATGGTGATGCATGGTAGCAAGATAACATTCATGGTGAGTAAGACAGTCTCCGCCGGGCAATCTGGCAGTGTACTGGGATAGGTGCCCACGTGACCCAGGAATAGCACGAACAACGATTCTCGAGAGTTACGCATATAAAACTGCCTTAGAATTTTTCGATGCATTCTGTATCGGAAAGCAGGGGAAGAGCAAATGCACTAGTACCCCGTCAATTTACCTGAAAGACAGGAGCGTAACTTTCCAGACGAATAGCCAGAAAGATGGCAATAATTGTCTGCGCTTTTTTTAGTAAACCTTGGTATCAGAGCGGGCTTCATCTTGTATACTTTCTTGTTCCTGTTTATTCGACCCTTTTGTCTTAGCAGGTGTGACTACATTTGTACAGACGGGACGTACGGAAACGCGCTCCCCTCTTACGCAGAAATCTGAAATGCTCTCATTGGTTCGAAAACACTATGGAATTTTCATCCAGTGTGTTACAAGGTTTAATACGAAAAGCCCATGCGGACTCTATGGTGCGCGCTCGCACCTTTACCGTTCATTCGGTCCATTTACTATGAAATTACAGCTAAGCGACTCCGACGTCACACCTCAGCCGTCGCTGTGTTTCACCTTACGGGTTGCGGAAGCGTTTACAATATTTTCTTGTTATGTCAATAGAGCCTGCTTCTTGCGCAGCAACAGCGCATGCAGACCCAACAAGTCTCCCGGGAACCAATTGGATGTGAAAATATTGAGATTCTAGTTAACTAACTGTTCATATGTCCCGCGTTTAAATGCCTTGCATTAGCCAATACATAGGTTGCACTGACGTCACGTCGCATATTTTTGGCCTCCATGTAAGAGGAGGAGAGGGAAGCTGCTTTTGTAAGAATTTTGAGTGACGGGCTAATCTTCTATAATCTTCTGGGGGGAGAATAGCGACGACTGGGGCAAATCCGGGCGGCACAAAAGGGGGCCCTGATAAGAGCGGAGCTTCTTCTCGACCTCCTCTCTGGTGGTCATCGGAGCGCCCTTTGAATGACGTCACGTGCAAGCCATGTATACGTCCAGTGTCGCCACCAACAAACACAACAAATCGAATACTTGGCGCGAGCCCAACGGCAGGTGGATTAAACAGAACGTTTTCACCTAAGCTCGGAGTCGGTCGCACCATCTCTTCCGTCCTCAACATCAAACGCGCAACGAACTGGTGACCAGTTTGTAGCGCGTAGCGTATGACGTGATGATCAACTCCGAGCACCTGCCATCCAGGGGAACGTTCTCCGTGGCTCGGGGCATGGCAACGGCATGGCATTTCAACTGTTTATGCGGGAGGCACATCCACCACAGTCACCACATCCGGACCCTCCGTCACCGCCTCTTCCCCATCGCGTCTGCCGCCGGCATCTCTCAGAAACGGGCTGCGACCACCTCGCTCACCCCGCCGGCACGGCGAGTCTACGTTCGTTGGCATTTCCACCACTGCCGCAGTCCCTGGTGTCGCCCCGGCAGTCGTGCCCATGTGTGTGGTGTGGTGCTGACCTGGCACGGTCGCGTGCTACCACGGCAAGTCACGGCGCACCAGTCTGTTCATAAGGCACACGGCTGACCGTCCAAGTGCTCTTCATTACTACTAGGTCAGGCATCTGCTCTTCGCTCGGCCTGTCACCTCGGGGAATTAGACTGCATCGGTCTCGCAGCTGGCCGCCATCTTCCTTGGAGTCCGAGTGGAGATAGAACCCGCTAAACTTCGGAGCCAGAGCACTACCGGATTGTTGTTCTCACTGTCTCCATTTCGCCTGACCTCTGCCTTAACCAGAACCTGCCCGGTCCCCGCACGCTGTCTTCAACGGCCACCACTTTCTGCTACGTCATTCTGCTCGCAGTACGCCGACAGTAATAGCGCCACTCCTGGAAGCTTCACCGCCTACTGCTCACAGAATCACTCCGTCCCCTGCAGCCTGGGGGGCTATGTTGCACGTTTTGGACTCCCGGGAGACTAGGGAGAAGGAAGTGACGTAGGTGTGAATGAACGTATCTTAGCAGCACCACGCAACGCGTCATCAGCGACTCCACCAATCAACATCCAAAGAGCGTTGTTGACGTCACTTCCTTCTCCTTAGTCTCCTGGGAGTCCAAAACGTGCAACATAGCCCCCTTGCTGCAACCCTACAGGCGGCGTCTCTAGGGGGGGAGCTATCTGTAGCAACAACACTGTAGTAGCAACCAATACGCCTAGTGTCGCCACCGCGACCTACTGTAATCCTGACCTGCCGACAGAATGACCCCCTATGGGACCAGCTGTCGCCGGCGGATTGCCTGGTTTCTCCGTTGAGGGCGCGCGGCAAAGGTTTTTCTGGGACCCACACGCAGCTCACAGCCTGCCTTCCCTGCGGCCTCCCACCCCTGCCACTAGCTGATTCCCGCTCTTCCTTCTATTCCGCAGAGGGTTCACCTCGCCGCAGAGCGGCGCCAGTGGCGGTACCAACCGTTTTTCAATGTTGATCTAATCGCCTCTGTCTGGCTGATTAGGGTGTATCCACACGACGGACCGGGCCGCGGACCGATTGATCACGTGATGCGCGGCCCGCGGGCCGCCCGGCTGCAATGAGCATCCACACGGCGGACCAAAAGAGCAGACGACAAAATGAACGGGCCGGTCTAACCCTCGACCTCACAGCTCCGCCAAACGCATGCAGCGAGCTGCTTTGAGGCTATTTGTAAGGAGCCAAGATGGAGGTTGAACGAAAGAGACGTTTGGCCGCGGTGGCCCTGGCGTCGACTCTTGATAACGAGGAGGACTTAAGTGAAGCGAAAAAGGCACGGGGACATCTTTAGATGGTTATTTGAGTAGTCGTCGCGACTATTGTCCCACAGAGCGGGGAATTGCTCCACGAGCGCGATGAAGTAAAAAGTTGCACCGTCGCACAACAAAAGGTTCGTCTTCTTCGTCTTCAGCAGTTGGCGCCAAAAGAGAACGACTTTGGACTTGGATTCCAATCCAAACATCAAAAGTCAGCTTGTTGCCAGACTTAGCGCTTCAATTATACTAAAAACGCCGCGGTCCGCCGCCAAGGTCCGGGCGAGAAAAGTCGCTTGGCATTTCTCAGAGGCGCGGGCCGCGGACCACCGGCGGACCTCGAAAACCGGTGACGTAAGATCACGTGATGCACGGCCCGCGGACCAAATAGCAATTTGGTCCGTCGTGTGGATACACCTTAAGCGGTGTTCAGACGGGGGATGCCTTCGGGGAGGGATGTGCGTGACGCACGCGGCCGGGAGAACTCCCTCCTCAGCTCCACCCTTCACACGAACGGCGGGACCGGCGGGGGAGACGGGAGGGATATCAGTGTTACCAGACGAATTTAGCGGTCGCACTCTCGACAGCAAGGCTCGGCGCACGTGGATCGTCGGGCGGGCGCGCCGCGGTCGAGAGTAGGAAAATGGAGGCGTACTTGAAACGACGCTACGCTGTTATGGCAGCAGCGCTGATAGAGACGGAAGACGACGAAGTTCTTCCAGCGAAAAAAAGGTGCTGGGTGAAAGAATGGATGCAGCACAAAGAACGCGGAATTCAAAACCAATTGTACGACGAGCTGCTCGAAAACGACGCCGATGAGTATCGACGACTTCTTCGCCTGCCTTACGACGTCTTCCTCGAACTTCTGTCCCGCATCCGTCAGCGGATTGAGAAACAAGATACAAATATGAGGCGCCCCGTGAGCGCGAAGACTCGTCTTCAATTGACTCTGCGCTACTTGGCATCTGGTGGTTACCCATTTATCATAAACGATAACCGATTTCGTTAATGCTGTTGCGACTGTTCTGTGAAGGCGCTGGCCACCGACGCATTTTAACGGAACCGTCACGTAGAAATCTACAAAGCTAGTACATGTTTATTTTCGTCCATCTGTTCGTTTTGTGTGTTCTTACTACTACATAGCCTGTTTGTTTACCTTATTTCGTATGTCCGGCAGCCCGTCTTAAAATAATGAAATATGTCCGCTTAAATTCTTGCACACGGTCGAGCGACTTACTAAGAGGTCGTCAGGATGTCGTATTCTGGTGTTTGACGGCGTGTCAGTCAAGTTCTTGATGCTGGAAGGCTTTTGGTTAACCAGTGCACTTACGCTAACAAAGCACTGCTGTGTCCGCAAAAAGGATGAAAATGTATCGCTAAAATAATTTGGACTCGCGTTTCTTTCTTTTCTAGGGGAATCCCAGTACTCGCTGAGCCGACAATTTCGCGTCGGCCACAGCACTGTGAACGGAATCATCCACAGCACGTGTGCCGCCATTTACGATGTACTGAAGGGTGACATGCTGGTTGCACCAAACTGTGAGCAGGCCTGGTTGGACTTGGCTCAGCACTTCAACAATCGGTGGCAGTTTCCAAACTGCGTGGGCGGCATTGATGGAAAACACGTCGTCATTGTAAGACCTGCGAAGTCAGGAACACTGTACTACAACTACAAAAAAACGTACAGTGTTATCCTTTTTGCACTTGTCGACGCCGACTGCAAGTTTGCGTATATTGATGTCGGGACGCCCGGCTCCAAGGGAGATGGTGCGATCTGGCAGACCACCCCCCTGCAGAAAGCAATCACGGAAAAGAGATCGGGGCTACCTGACATGATTAGCATGAACGCCTCATCTACCCTCCAGCTTCCCCCTGTGATCGTGGGTGATGACGCATTCCCACTATCCCCGAACCTCATGAAGCCATTTGGTGGGAGCGACCTTTCAGGGGCACAAAAAATTTTCAATTATCGGTGAGTCCCACTATAACACCAACCTTTAACTCGCCCCTGTTGACAATCGCCCAGAGAATCTTGGTGTACATTGTGAAATTTGTGGTCACTAAACGTAATTTGTCTTGACCACATTCCTTCAAGTCCCTGTGGAAGATGAAGCCAAGGGAATGAAAGTACTGTATTTTCCGGTGTATAAAACTTTTTCCCCACAATTTTCGATGGTGCGTCTTATATACTAATAGTTACTTAGAAACTCGCGAAAAAAAAAGGGGGGGGGGTGCGCCTTATACACCGGAAAATATGGTAGTTGTGCCTGTCTTCTTTTCTTCCTGGTCTTGATCCCGTAAGCATTTGTAGTGCACAACTATTATATGTAGAGATGATTTTCAATGCAACTTATTGCTTTACTAAATATTTTTTCAGGTTGTCCAGGGCACGTGTGTGGCAGAGAACGCATTCGGTATATTGGCGCACAGATTTCGCTTCCTCTTAACTACTGTGCACGCTACACCGGAGAGGGTGAGCACAATGGTGAAAGCAGCATGTGTCTTGCACAATCTCTTGAAGAGACGCCAGGTCGAACAACCCGAGACAAGCAAAGGAACCGCTCCCGAGAAAACTTTTTTCGGCCTGGAGTCTTCGAAATCTCGAGCTGGAGCTCTTGCTGCAGCAGTGCGAGAAAGGCTCTGCGAATATTTCAGTGGAGAAGGTGCCGTGCCTTGGCAGGACAAACTCGCTGGCATTGACATTAGCCACCTTAGGAGGAATGTGACATAGTGCGAGACTACCATGTTGAATGCTGTGTTTTGCAAATGTGTGGAATTTCGGGTGCTCTAAAGGTACAATATCGATAGTGATTCTTTTATTTTGTGCTCAGATTACACAAACGCGTCACTCATCAAGATGGAAAACTATTAGTTGCATCATTTGTGCCTCGCACTTCGCCCGCTTCAACATCGGCATTTGCCTCAAGTATTGGGCAACTACGGACCCAAATCCCGCACAGTCGTCCGGGGCTGGTTCCTCCAGGCATCGGGCCATCCTCTCTAACGTTGCTGTGCGCTGCTCAAGCAGGGACTGCGTTTCCGAGTCATTTTTTCTCTTCAATGACCGGACGGCACTTGCGTCCCCTTGGGAGGGTGGAGAACATGGCTCGACCGAAGTGCTGGGGGTTGAAACGTCGCTGCCTCCTGCAGAACCCTCGCAGTCCTGTAATTATACGACTGCAATCAGTAGAAACAGTGGTTCGTTCGAATAAAGGAAAGCGTGTAACAACACACTGTTCTTCAAAAACATGTTCAACTACATCTCATTATCTTTATTATTTTGCTTTTGTTTGTTGTCATATATTAACTTGCCTTTAAAATGTACATGTTTGCATTTCCCTCGTTTATGCGTTACTATCCCAATGAATGAATGCCGGGACGTCTAAGAAATAAAGCTCCACTCACCTCTTCTATGGTTTCTCCATAGTTGTCGCTGCATGTACGCTTCCCTGGATTTACATCGCTGGCATCCAGGAAGAGCATTGCCCTATAGAACTTCCACTTCCCAATATAAACGTCGTCTGATGGTTGGCCGCTTTTTGTTTGGAGGATCTTTTTTTTCTCCTCCCTGAAGGTTCGCCGCTTGTTCTTCAGCAGTAGCTTGAGGCTATCTGTGCGGAAAAAAAAAAATAAAAGAACAAACTTCTGCTTGAGAACTTGCCAAGACAACCTGAGCCTCACAAACAAAGCTAGTGTGACAAATATGACAACTGTGTACAAAGTGAGACAAGCCACGTTGCATGAAAGCTGGCAAATTACATTTTGACTGATCTCTAGCACAATCGTTGAACGTGCTATTGAAATATTGTTGATTTATCATTAAAAACACATGGCCAGGTGTGCTATATTATGCCGTTCATTAAATATGTTTTTCTTTTACTCTGTGTGCCACGAAATTAATCGGTTCTAAAATTTAATTCCAACGTATGAACTCAATTCAGAATTAGCGCGTGTGATTGGTTTGCAGGAACTCTTCCCTGTAGCGAGTCGTAAGGGATCGCGACATTCCCAGGGATCATTTCGACGCAGAATACGTTTCACAAATCGAGCACAACGATGCACATATTCATTCAGTAAACAAAGCAAAAAAAGTCCGCTCACCTGCACTGTACGGCCCGAACTGGGGAAAACGCTCCATCATTTCCATACCGATATGTTCCCATACTGATGTCTTGAGGTTTGTCTTGCTGTAATCAGCGCTGCCGGTATCCCAAAGACACGGGTACTGCTCAACGAGCGAAAGAAGATGAAAAGTTGCCTCATCACTGATCATTAATCGCGCCATCGTCCGAGAGATCGTTGAAAAAAATGTTTGGTGTTCTACGCCAGAGCAGCGGCACAACAACGAGGCGATCGCGATGCCACCGCCGGCAACAGGCGAAGCACAATCTGTTAAGTTGCCAGGCAGGCGAAAAAGTACCGTCAACAGCGCAGAAATCCCCCGCCAAGGCGGGGACCGTTTGTCCAGCCCGAGCAAAACCTCCCCCATCCCCCGGCGAGGGCTGCATCACCGCGCCTCCGCGCGAAAGCGTGACGTTTCTGTCACGTGATACGCAGCGCGGGGAGCAAAGGGAGGGATTTCTCGCTCGTGTGAATACCGCTTTAGGGGGCAAGGGGGCGGTGCCAGGAGGTACCACCAGATTGAACTACAGCACCGAAGTGCTTTTATGTTTTCGGGCTCTGCAACTTACACTTGAGCTTGAATCGTTACGATCCACCAATGGTATAGTTTATTACCATTGGTGGGTTGCGTACCCTATTGTAAATCGGCAAGTAAAAAGATGGCTGGAGTTAGCTTTCATGAAGTTAAAAAGAGAGAAAAGAAATGCAAAGTTAAAAGAAGCGAAAGCAAAGCCGGCGTCTAGGAAGGGTTTCAAGGTATAAACCGGCCGCAATGACCGACAACGTCTTCTGAAAGAACTGAAATAGGCTTCATGTGTTAATTATTGAACGTATATCAACAAATAATGATAACCATAAAACCGGTTATCTTCCGTCGCATATTCATATTCGAGCTGTCTAATAAGTACGCGCGTGCTCGACCCGCGCCTTCTCTGCAATTGGCGCGCGGCAATAACTATGACGGCGGCTGGCGCCCCTAGTGGCAAAATCTTTCACACGCGCAGTGGTAAAATCGCGGTAGGGGATCTATTCCGTGTACAGGTCAGGACCAGATAACGCAGCCGCGACTTGCGCTCCTCGAATTGACGTGCGCATTTTCTAGGAAACAGAAAGACCTTTAAGTGGCGCCATGCACTCATAGCGTTACGAAACGCTGCGGATTCTGTGTTTACCAAACACCGCGCGCTGCCGCTCTCGTTTGTCGGCAGGTCAGGATTACAGTAGGTCGCGGTCGCCACCAACAAACACAACGAATCGACTTCTTGGCGCAAGCCCAACGGCACGTGGATTAAACAGAACATTTTCACCTAAGCTCGGAGTTGGTCGCAACATCTCTTCCATCCTCAACATCGAAGAAGAAGAAGAAGCGTTGATCAGACCGCACGGCGGAACAGCGAGCTCCAATAATTTTACGCAAACTCTATATACAGGGTGTCACAAATGAAAATTTACACGGTCTTTTTAACCGCAAAAATAAACTAGGCATCGCCAAACGCTCATTCTCCGCCCAAAGGTAGAGCCAGAGGTCGCAACCAGGTGCCAAAGTTTCAGCACGATCCGATAACTTAATCAAAAGTTATAAGTGATTTTCTGAAAATTTCAATAGGAAAATGGAGCCCAATTTTTCCCGTTTTCGGTTTCTGGTGCCATAGAGCCCCATGTGTTTGAAAACTCCGTCGGCCGCCATTTTCCCATTGAAATTTTCAGAAAATCTTTTATAACTTTTGATTAAGTTATCGGATCGGGCTGAAACTTTGGCATCTGGTTGTGACCTCTAGCTCTACCCTTGGGCGGAGAATGAGCGTTCGGCGATGCTTAGTTTATTTTTGCGGTTAAAAAGACCGTGTACCGTACACTCATAAATCCATTACGGCTATACAAATAGACACTAATCACCTCAATTCTGAAGAACAAGAGCACGTAGCAATTAAAATTCAAGCCATAGAAACAGATATAATAATCCTAAACGCATATTGGACCCCGAAAAAAGAGCTAAAACATTCTGAAGAACTAGATCGATTTATACAACAGAACAATAAATATCCAATACTAATTGCAGGTGACTTCAATAGCGCACATCTAGGATGGAATTACAGCTATTCTTCACCTAACGGTAGAAAACTGGAAAAGATCATGACTAACAGACAATTAACTCTCATGAATGACACCACGATACCCACCAGAACAGGCAATAGCGTGCAAAGGGACACCAACCCGGACCTAACCTGGTACAAAGGCAAGCCAACGTGCCATTGGGAAAACCAGCTAGAAAACTTAGGTAGTGATCGCTATATTATCAACATTACAATAAAAACACGCAGAAAACACCAACGGGAACAAAAAGCAAAATCACCAAGTGGGACGAAACGAGAAAAGAACTTAAAGAAACCGTAGAAAATAATCCTGACCTTACGTGGGCACAGGGGCTAGATAAAATACAGAGCAGCTACAAAAAGAACAAATGGATAGCAAACAGTGAACAAGCGCCGTACGTAGACTCACATCTTCTTAGTTTATGGGACAAGCGCAACAGGATTGCTAAAATTTGGAAAAAGAAGAAATCCAGAAAAGGTCTCAAGAAAGCCATCCAAAGAATCACAGAGGAAGCATACAATTACGCAAATGAGTTAGCACAAGAAAATTGGCTCCAAACTTGCGATCAACTAAATGGCCTCCTACACACCCGGAGAGTATGGCAAATCCTTCGAACTTTATTAGGGCAACCTAAAACAAAACACACTACAAATAAACTATGCCTCCATTACCAAACAGGACCTAAAGAAATAGCAGAAAAATTACTGTGCAAATTCTACCCTAACAAAAACGGAATAACTTTCCCTGGCACAGAAACAGA